TTTTTTTTTTTTTTTTTTTTCAATTTCTTTGGGTTTATTAGTTATGTATTTTGAGTTTTTTTTCCTATTCTTTTGTTTAAAAATTGATTAGGGGTTTATGAAGTAATTGACAATGACTGTTCTATCGGAAATTCGTAAGAAGACATTTTTCGATAACCGGAGGCTGTGGTAGAAGGTGAGCCTCGATTTTTTTAATAACTGTGGGTGTGATTTTTTTCATCTCCATATTTAATGTTGTATCGAAATATTTAGCAACTTATAAGAAAATTTTATATAACTAATGTTTGACATAAATATTTTTTTTAGTCAAGTGGTGCTTCTCACTAGTATATAAAGATACGTATGTAGACTCAGATACCTTTCAATCATTGTCAACGGGAGTGCTTTCTTGGACCTTTTGTTTTCTCTTTCTAAAATATTTACTTCTGCTGGTGTTCCAGCGGGAGAGAAGGAAGTGAAAGAGCAGAAGAAATCAATTCCCCTGCTTCTACGAAACTGTTTTTTAAGTATTCGTTTTCATCTACTGTTAACGTGTTCATTTATTTATCGTTACAGCAATTTCTCTCCCCACCAAGACAGATTTTTTTCCTCGCTCTGACTCTCTCTCTTAACCTTTTTTTGGCAGTTATCCATCTTCAATCTTCATCTCTCTCATGAGTTATCTCTCTCTGTCTTTATCTCTCCGGTTTTCAGAATTTTGTCCTTTTCTGTTCGCTGTATAATTGAGGTGAATTTTGTTAGAATTTTAGTTGTTGTTATTATTATTATTATTATTATTGGCTTTAAGAAATAGGTTTGGGGGCAAAACTCTAAATTGGGTTGATTTTATTGTAAGTTATAATTTTTTGTGGTATTATTAATGCTCTGTCCTTTTGTTCCATTTTTGTATATCTTTTGCTTGTGGTGGAGTAGAAGTGCTAAATTCGAGTGGGTTTTATGATTTTTTCTGTTGTTTGTGTGATTTAGGTAGTCTGCCAATTTTTAGTTGATTTTATCTAATCTTGGGTTTGAGTTGACCAAGGATAAAATTATATCATTTGAGTTGATCTTTACTATTTTTGTTTTCAATTAATCCATATTCTATTTGTGAATCAATAGAACTGAATTTTTAGTTGATCAACAGCTGAGCATTTTGGGATAATTATGTATATTTTAATTTTTGGTTGAGTTTATGTATTAACTTTTATTTCCTACTTTGTGGTAGATTCCAGTTGTGATCATTTCTTCATTTGACATGCCTTGGAGTGGGAGTGGAGTTCACTATATGTTTTAATTTCTTTACTAAATATTCAATTAGTTAATATATTTGGGTCATTTCTTAATTTTGTATGTGGTGGGAAGTTGGTGTCCCCCATTGTATCATAGAAGTAGGTAATTGAGTTTGTTGTGTATACATATGCCTATTTGTATGCGTCTATGGTTTTTTTTTTACTTGAGCTTGTTTTCAGAATGATAATTTTTTCCTTTAAAAATTGAACTTGGACAATTTCTTACTATCGTGTTTCATTTGCTGTTTTTCGTGGTTTACTCAAGCTTTTGAACTCTGGATGGCATTTTTGATTTTCTCATCCTCCTCTTTAATCACTGGATAATCAGATAATTTATCTTTGTTGTTTAAGATACAGTTTTGTTTAAGTAGTTTTTCAATGGAGATCAATTAGTTTGCTCTTTACAGATGTTTCTAAGCATTTCCTTTTTGCCAATATGTATAATTTATGGAATCTATTGATGGACTTGCGAACATTAATTCAAAAATGTATCGATGTGCTTTCTTACTCACGTTGCTCTTCAGGAAGTGATTCAATGGGGCAACCTTTGGGTAATTTCATTACCGGAAATTTTGAAGGTTACTCTTTTCTTCACAACTTATGAATTATCAAATATTTGATAATTAATACGTCAAAGCACATTGTCATATGCACTTTTGAGAATTATATTCCCCTATAACTTGATTATTTTACCCTTTTTTGTAGGTCCATCTAAAATTTCATTTGCTAACATCCCAGGAAAAGAGAAAAATCCTTGGGGAATCCCTCTTGGAACTGACACACATTATACATCAAGTGATGCTAGCTTCTTCTCTAGCTCATTGCCTGTCCTTTCTCATGAGAAGTGTAAGCATGAGCAAGGAGTTTCTTTCCAAATGGATGTGTTTTCTGGTTACTCCAAAATGATTTCTTAGACTTCTTTCCTTTCACGTGCAGTAAATCTTGACAACTCTGATCAGAGTGGTCAATCAGTTGATGATGGCTTCTCTAGAATAAAGAAAACATATGTAGAAGATGAACATAGGGACCCACTTGAAGATATTGGACCAACTCCAATAGGAAGCTTTCTTCCTGGTGATGAAGATGAGCTCTTAACTGGCCTTATGGATGATTTTGATCTTAATGGGTTGCCTACTCAGCTCGAGGACTTGGATGATGATTTCTTCGGAAGTGGGGGAGGACTAGAAATAGAGCCTGAGCTTCAAGAGAATCTCGGGAATGGTGTGTTGAGGTTAAGCACGACTGATGGTGTTAGTGGAAGCAATATAGCTCATTTTGGGGTTACAAATAGTGTTGGGGCTGTTAGCAGCGAACACCCATATGGAGAGCATCCTTCAAGGACATTATTTGTTCGGAATATCAATAGTAATGTGGAGGACTCTGAACTGAGGTCTCTCTTCGAGGTATAAATCATTAATTGGATTCCTAATTAGTAATTCTTTAAATCTGTCAGCATATCATCTTTTGGCAGCTCACAAACCCTAGTCAATATTCTCAATATTTGGGCTCCTTCAAAAATGCATTATTTTATTGTAAAGTGTGTGGTTAAAAATAATAAAGAGAAAAATGTATTTTTTGAGAATGGCGCCCAAACAGGGGGGAATATAACTTTGTGTATCTTGCTTGATGGTTTATGATACTTGAAGGAACTGTCCATTACTTAGTACACTTTATTTATTGTATTTCAGATTTTTTTAGGGGTGGGGTGTGGCTGGAGGTTGGGTGACATGTTGCGTTGCGATGATTGATGTTTATCTAATTCTTAGACAATCTAGTGTGTATCAATTTAGATGCTGAGCATACATTTCAGTTTCGAAAACTTCAGTATTTAGGCTAAATAAAGACCTTCATATATCAGTTCAATGGACATCAGTTCAATAGGGATGGTATTTCAGTCTTCTGCTTTGTGTGCGGGTGTATGTTTTTTTTATCTTATGGGAACTAAACTACATATTGTATGTGAGGTTGAAAGCATTGTGTTAATCTATCGATAAGCGAGAGCAATTGTCCAAAATAAATATGACAAATATCATCTGCATTTAGGTTGAATTGAGTTGATTTTCTCGTTAGCTGTTCAACTCGATATCAAGTAGTTCACAAGACATCTATTGGTAGATAAAATGGTGACATAAATCAAATAGTCAGAAATAAAAGGCTAGATTTATCTCACTTGATTAATCTTTGGTGAAATATTCATTAATTTGGTGACTTTTTATGAGATGGTCTCATGGTATATTTCCTACTTTATAAAGTTTAGGTTAAAGTCATTTAATGCGACAATTCTAATGAGATGGATTATAGGTAATATCTAAATCATCACACGCTTTCTGCAGGCAACCGCGTTCATCATTATTTTCAACGCCCTGTGCAAATATGAGAAGTTTTTATCCTGATAGCATTTTTCTAGAAGTTGAACTGCGATTTCATTGTGTTTTGTTTATAAATTTCTGCAGTTTCACATTAATCAGATGCTGACTTGCAGAACACGCTATTATTGTTAGAATCACCAATCAAATTATATATTGACAGTGAGAATGTTGGTTGTGCTTGTCTAAATAAACTTTACACGATGTAGGTGTTCTCATATTTGTGCTGCCTAAATTGTTTAAGTTTCTGCTGATGCATCATTATAATCCCTATAGGATATTTCCTCCCGAGTTTAGTTGATGATGATTTTTTTTTCTCCTCTTTTTATGTTTGCCCGGTCAATAAGTTACGCAAATAATGACAAAATAATTGTTCATATTCGAGTTACTAAGTAACTTGTCAATATAAAGGATGACGAGTTGCTGCCAATTTAGAAATTAGAGTTAAAGCTTGTTTGGTGAAGTGTTTATAAACAGTTTAAATTGTAAATGGATAGAAATGAGTGGTGTGATAAATGGGTATGACTTGTGAATCCCTCAAAATGTGTAGATAAAAATAGCGGTTTGACCATTTATAAACATTAGCCAAACATAGGCTTAGATATGTCCTCTTGTACTTGATGTCAGCTAATCATCATCCAAGCCTTGTCAACCCTAGAATTATTGGATTAGGATGGTAAACATGCTGATTTAGCTCCAATAATATGATTAGTGGTAGTATATATATATATATATATATTNTTTTTTTTTTTTTTTTTTTTTAATTTCAGACATTTATTTTTTTGCCTTCTCCCTTTACATGAGTTATTACTAGCATCTTTTCTTCTTTTGGGTTGCCTACATAACTATATTTTTCAATTTCTTCCTAATAGCAATATGGAGATATCAGAACTCTCTATACCGCATGTAAGCACAGAGGATTTGTGATGATATCTTACTATGATATCAGAGCTGCTCGCACTGCAATGCGCATATTGCAAAACAAGCCCTTAAGACGAAGAAAACTTGATATTCATTTTTCAATTCCCAAGGTCTGAACCAAGATATCCCTTCTTTAATAATGACACTGTTGAATAGATGAGCACCTATTCGATATTATTTCTTTCTACATCCAGGATAACCCATCGGAGAAAGATGTTAACCAAGGAACTCTCGTGGTCTTCAATTTGGATTCCTCAGTGTCCAACGATGACCTCCGCCTAATATTTGGGGCTTATGGAGAAGTTAAGGAGGTGAGAATTTCTTACACTTATCTGGTTGTCATTGTTATTTCTGTTGCATCTATTTATTTATGTTGTAGTTTCCCGAGGAATTTCTCATCTTCTGTTGGCTGAACTGCATTAGTTTTCCTTTTTACAAAATGTAGATCAGGGAAACACCCCACAAACGACATCACAAGTTCATTGAGTTTTATGATGTTAGAGCTGCAGATGCAGCTCTCAAGGCTTTAAATAGAAGTGATATTGCTGGGAAGCGTATAAAACTTGAACCTAGCCGGCCTGGTGGATCCCGTCGGAGGTACATTTCATATTTTAAATGCTGATGTTGGAGTGAATCTGTTTTCATATGTTGTTTTATTTTTTTGGTGGGCGATTAGTTACACAACTTCCTGTCATCGTTCTTGTTTTTTGTTGATATGCTAATTTACAAGCATAATAAATGGCTCGTTGTCAACTAACGTGTCTCTCTCCTTTTCTTAAATATAATATAAATGGGATAAGAGGAAGTATCGTAAATTGGGTCTTGTCATTTGTATTTTAATTAAAAAATGTAAAAATCATTAAATTGCTGATTTATTAGCTCCGCTGAAGCTCAATATCTGATTGGAAAAGAATACTTTCCACGGCATCAGACTTCACAATATTTGTTTTTTCTTTTTTTTTTTCCGGTTATCTGTTTCTTTCTTTTCTGGGAACAGAGAATGTGCACGTGAAACTGCAAATGTATTAGATAACATTAAGAGATATGTTGATTACCTTGAATAAAAATGATGCTGAGGTGAATAGTAGATTTTTAAAGAGGATTTTAGCATGCTTGAGCTTCCAAAATTCCTGGGTGTTGAACACTCATCATAGTAATGCAATCATGATGTGTAGCTGGATTCTGGATGTTGGTAGCTTGGATTAAACAAAAATTTTGCTCCATTTATGCCGTCATGTTTAGGGATTTTGGTGGAAGAATTATCTCCCAAGTCCTTGGACTTTTTTCCCTAAAAATCTGTAATTTTATAAAATCAAGTTTGATATATCACTTGCTCCTGATGGTTTATCTTTTTTTTCCCCCCTTGGTCAATTAGGTTTCGTCTTTTAGTCACACTCCATTTCATTTAGATAGGTTCAATGCAAGTCATGTTCTAGTTGAAAGGGCAACCAATGATTTGTTTGTTCTTTTCTTGTATAGCTTAATGCTGCAACCGACTCAAGAGCAAGAACAAGATGAAGCTCGACCTTTCCACCATCAAGTTGGTTCACCTGTAGCCAACTCTCCTCCAGGTATGTTGATGGATGATCTACATTAAAATGACAATCACTTGCTAATTGTATGTCTATAATCATGGCACCAGTGTTTGCACTTGTAGGTATCTGGGCAAATTTTGGGAGTCCAGTCGATGACAATTCATTCCCTGATTATAGTCGGTCACCTGGTTTAGGGAGCCTCAGCCCTGTTGGAAGTAACCACTTGCCTGGCTTGGCCTCTATCCTTCCGTTCCAGGTCTCAAATCCCGTGAAGATTGCACCAATTGGTAAAGACCCTGGAAGGATAAGCCATATGCAGGTAATTACTAAGGCTAATGCAGCACAAGGAGCGGCTTATCAGCAGCATTATTCTGTTCCCGATTCCAAGTTCAGTACAAGTCCTGGACCTGTGTCATCATTTGGTGATTCCAAGTCATCTAGCATTGGGACGCTTTCGGGTCCTCAGTTTCTGTGGGGAAGTCCTACTATTCACTCCAGGTATGTTCGGTCCTGCACTACACTTTAGAGGATAACAAACGACATTTTAACTTTCTATTCTTTAATCCTGCACAATAGTGTCCAATCCAACATGCCAAACGTGCCATCAGAGCGCATGAATTCTGCTTGGTCATCATCATTGAAGGGACCTATGTTTTCATCCACTGGACAAAGAACTGGTTATCCTTATCACAACGGGCATGGCTCATTTCTGGGTTCACATCATGTTGGATCCGCTCCATCTGGTATTCAACTAGAAAGGAATCCTGGTTTTTTTACAGTCTCACCAGAGTCATCCCACATAAATCGAGCTGCATTTGGAGCCATAAATTTAGGTCGCAACAATGGGAATCATGCCATGAATATGGTTGCCCAGGGGGCTCTGAACATGGGCGTTGCTTATACAGAAATTTTTTCTGAAGGTGGTTCTCCGAGTTCCAGGATGATGCCAATGTCCAGAAATTCTCCCATGTTTTTTGGAACAGTTTCTTATGGAGGCATGGGAGCAACCGCAAATGATGGATTGATGGACCGCTATCAAAATAGAAGAGCTGACAGTGGAAGCCAGATGGAAGACAGAAGGCAGTATCAACTTAATTTGGAAAAGATCGTCAATGGGGAAGATAGTAGGACTACTTTGATGATTAAAAATATCCCCAACAAGTATGAACTGATAACAATTTAAATATCCATTTTGTTTTGAAACTGTGGACTCCTGCTGCATTTTTATTTTCCTTATTTGAAGGTACACCTCAAAGATGCTACTTACCGCTATTGATGAAACTCACAAGGGTACATATGATTTCCTCTATCTGCCAATTGATTTTAAGGTTAGTTTACTGTGGAATACCATTAACTTTTGTGCTCAACTCAATACCCTTCCTAATATATATCAACTCCTACTGCCCAGAATAAGTGCAATGTGGGGTATGCTTTCATCAACATGGTGTCTCCTTCACACATTATCACCTTCTATGAGGTTTGAGTTTCTTTCCTTTATCCCTTTACTAGTGGTCGTATCAACTAGATATCACCACAAGATACTAAAATATGCGAGCAACTAATGTTAAAGCTCGGGAACATTTTACAATTGTTATTATCTAATCACCCTCACAAGCCACATAATCATAGATTTTGTTTATTGAGAACTCTGGAAATCTGTTCAGTGACAAATGGACTTGTCCCTTGTAAATATTTGCAGGCATTTAATGGAAAGAAATGGGAAAAGTTCAATAGCGAAAAGGTTGCTACCCTGGCATATGCGAGAATCCAGGGACAGGAGGCTCTTGTTTCACACTTCCAGAATTCAAGTTTAATGAATGAAGATAAACGGTGCCGACCAATTCTCTTCCAGTCAGAGGGCCAAGGGATTGAAGATCTGGTATGTGACAAGTTACAATCTTTTTCTCACTTCATGAATTAGCTCGGTTTGGTAGAGAATCGAAGTCAAAGTCAGCAATTTATTTTAACCACGTATTTCAAGGAATCAACAACTTTTCAACCACATATTTCATCAACTTTTATCAAAATATACTAAATATCTGATTTTAATCCCACCAAACATGGGCTTAATAACGTCGAGATCTATCATTTTCTAACCAAGTTAATGTAAAGTGGGTAAAAATTTGTACTACAAAAAAATGTTATCGTGTTTTCTAGTTATAGAGCCTATGTTTTCTAGCGGGTAAACATTTATACTATTTCCTCCATTTTCGACCGCACATTCTCCTATAAAGTAAAATTACACGTAAATCCAAAACTTTTCCTTATTTTTTAACTACACATTCTCCAATAAAAAACTATTCCAAAAGGCATTTTGGCCTGAAAAATGCGGCTCAAACAAGGGCAGAGTTATATTTACCGAACTCTATTTGAAGGAAATAGTTTTTGGTGGCTTTTCCTAATTTTTTATCACTTCACAATTTAATTTTTCAACAATAATATAAATTTTGTGAACCTATGGTTGAACACTAATTATTTATCTTCCCGTTATTTTTTTAATTTCTCTTATCATTTGATGATCTGATTTAAAAGGATTTTTGGGTCTCTCAGGAACCTAGACATACCAGTAATCTGAATATCTTTATACGTCAGCCAGATGGAACTTATGTTGGGGATTCTCTGGACAGCCCAAAGAGTAATCCAGATGAGTAGCCAGAGAAAAGTCGACCACTCCCTTAAAGTGGTTGACGCCAAACTAGAATTTGTGGAAGGAGTGCTAACTTTTGTACAGCTTTTGTGTAGTAGTTTATTGTCTTACCTGGGAACTGGAACGTACATATGATATTACTGGAGCGTCCACTTTTCACCATGGACACTCCGTATTATCTTGGAAGAAATATTTGACAGGGCAAAGGGAGTGTTCTGTTTATATGCATACCGGCAAATGATGTTAACAGAGCGAGGCGATCAGAGTGAAGCTTAGCATCAACTATATGTGAAGTTCTCTCTTCTGTCATATGCTTTGCTCAATCTTTTATGAATTCTCTCCTGTTTATTTTGCTTCATTTTTTGGTCCAGTTCTTGAGACTGCTTAGCAGTCTTATTAAATGTATAGTAGTTTATAGAGCTGGGGGAGGGTCAGAAATAGGTATGGAAGGGAACTACAAACAGTCCCCGCAGGTTGTCTCTGTCCTGTGAATTGTGATTATGTACAGAGGAAACTGTGTATTTGTTATGTGAATTTGCAACTTTTTTTAATCCTTACAGGCTCGTTCAGTTTATGTCATTGCGTGCTAACTTTGAGTGAAGCTTCCTACACATTGCGCGTCTTTTTGGAGATTCATGGTAGATTTGTTTGAGAAGCCCAGATTTTATTGCCACGGTCCATTTCGTCCCAACTTTTAAAATTGGACTTTTGAGTCCTCAAAGAGTACTTGATTAGTCTTTTTATTCAGAAACTGCATCAAAAAATGTTTCTGCCCAGTTTTTATAATAAGCTATACGTCATCGGTCGTGACAAGAAGGTCAGCCTCTAGTCGAATTTTGTCTTTGGTTTCTGGTTTGATGCTAGAACATTAGCAATATAAACTCGATTACATTGTCAAGATCCTGAAAATTCTCAATACAATGGTTCTTTATGAAATTAATGAGAAGAATATAACTAATTAAAGCTAAAATTCTGAAAATTCTCAATATGATGAGCAACTTTTCCGTGCCATCTATGGATCATAAACTACGGTAGTTAAGAAAAAGCAAATTAAACTCTTATACACAACTGGGAGGCATTTGATTGGCATAGGAAGAATCCGTTACATTAGCACACTGAGAAGTTGCAGGTCCATCTGGTCCATTGTAAACCAAATTTATGTTTCTAAACTCGATTTTTCGACAAGGCACTCCTTTACCGCACTCTAAATTCACTGCAACCTTTGAACTTGAAGTGCCCCAAACGTTTCTGAATGTCACATTCTCTATCTGAACACGCGATGTCGATTGACCTTAGATTCAGAAACATAAACGCCTGTTAACAAAGATATACTAGTATTGTTTGATACTGCTTACCGACCATGCCATGAAAGAAAAACGAGAATGTTATCAGAAAATGGAATTTGTTCTTGCCTCGGGAGCGCAAAAGGGACGAGGGCAATATTGCTGATCAATGACAATAGGGTTGCTGGAATTTTGCATGACAATGTCCTCAAATCTCATAACATTGTTTAAAGATGGTGACCATGTTTTGATTCTCACACCATTTTCGGTCCCTGCAATGGTGCAATTTCTTATGCTTATTCCTTGTACATAATCATTCTGATGGTCTTTACCTAGGCTTCCAATACTGATGCCATGTTCCGGCCCCCAAAAAACATTGGATACGTCCATATTTTGACTGCCGGCAATCATGGCTATGCAATCATCGCCGGTGACTGAGAGTTCCAGAATTTGCGTGAGCTACAGATGTGGGTGCCTTCCGTGTTAGGGCTGTGGGCTGGCCCCATTATTTTAACGTGGCTGACGTTCATGTTATTGCAAGCAAAAATGTTGAAATGAGCATTTGCCGTACATGATGTATTCTTGAATTGTTCACAAAGTCGAACCTCGATCTCTGAAGAGAATTCATGTATGCAAAGGAATTAAATAACCCTCAAATGAACAATTATTGAAGATCAAAATTATGTGAATCATTTACTTACACCAGGTAGAGGTCGCAATCATTAAAATCCATAGCAGCAGATCCTCGGTCATCGAAAGATCCACCACCTTTCACAGTCAAATCGTTGAGATACCGAAAACCAATCCAAGTGTTAGTAACTTGGAACTATCGATCGGAAAAAGGCCATGGAACCCTTTCACCCTCCTTTGGAAGGTCACAGATCTCAACATAAATGTTCCTTGAGGGATTAAAACCCTACTTCTCCCACCATATTCACATGCTTTGAGAAATGCCTAATTAATCAAATTCAACAAAAACAGTATTTATAATACTGTTCAACCCCGTCTACTACAGGTCACCAAGGTTTTTTAACTGTGTTTTTGTGCGAAAACTAACCTTACTGCACCATAGTTTCATCACATTGAAGAATTTTGGTGGTAAAGCAATATCTTCACTAGCTTTGGAAACACGAAAAATCAACAAAAATGTATGAACAATCCCGAAGCCAGAACTCAAATAACCCATTTCTCTTTATTCTTGCGTTACGCGAGAAACTCTCTGAACTTTATCTTGGTCCATATCATGTAATTATGCACATGGATTTAGTTATAGAATGCTTAAATCTTTCTTTCCCTTTATGATATTAACTGATCCCCATTTTATGATGCAGTTTTAAAGAAAGTAAAATGCAGAACTAACAATGTGATGTAAACATGTAAATGCATGCAACAACATTATTTTTTTCCATCTAATTGCGTGAATCTGTTCAATTTATTGTTGAATTACACATAATTCCCTCTGTATTCGGAAGATTTGGGGAGAAAGGAATGAAAAAAAAAAATGTAAGTTAAGAAGAGATTTTTCAGGTTTCAACCATCATATATTTAATTATTTTAAAGTTGGAAAAATTGAAAGCACCTATGACTTTGCTTTTTCCACTCATTAGGTATCCTGTCTCTCTCATTCGACATCTTTGACAAGATTCTAACTCAAGGGTCTTACGAGGATAATCTATTTAATTTGGTTCAGATTCCCTAAGGCCCTGCTTAATTGCAACGAATTCCATGGAAAATGTTACATTCAAGAAAACGAATTCCACTTTGATCGTTTAATTGTAACGTAGAAATGAAAATCTAATTTCAAGGTACGATCGTTTTAAGCTGTATTTTCTTCGTTTTCATGGAAAACGACTTTTTATGAGTTTGGTGGGTTTTTATTTTCCAATTAACATGCAATTCAAATTCCTTTCCACATTTCTCTATCAAACGAACCCTAAGTGATTTCAGATTGGCTCCTAATGCGGATATAGTAGTGTTGTTTGGGGATGTTGGCTCTGATTCGTATCAATTTTTTTATTTTTTATTTCTAGAGGGAGAATAAAGTTGTCCATATGCTTGCTGACTCTACTATTTAAATAGGCAATTAGCAGATTGTGAAATGAATTGATTGTATGCGAATATACTCGTTTTTCGCCAATAATTCATAAAATTTTATTTTGCCCCTGTTTGGTGCACATTTTTGCTCCAAGAATGCATTTTTTTGGTTAATGTGATTGGGAATATGTGGTTAAAAAAGAATGAAAAGTTATTGATGTGATGAAAAATATTATTTTATTAAAGAATATATGATCGAAAATAAATGAAAGAATGAAAATGAAAAAAAAATAATGTGACTCAAACATGGGCTTTATAATAGTAAAACGAAAAATTTGGGAATTTCATATTTCGCCCTTCTTGCGCTTGGATCAAATCGATGTCAGTTCATGAAACCACATTACATAGTTGATGCTGTTTCGACGTAACTCAAACCTGCTCCTGGTTGACTAAAACTCTTTCAAAAATGCTTTACAGCACAAATGTCAACAATGTCATGCTGTCCGTACATAATCCAGTACTGTTTTTGTTCATTTGTAGCACGAAAAAAATTAAAATAAATCCTTGCTTGTGAAGAAGAAAGAGCCAAGAGGTCCCTTATCTCGTATTTTGCCACGCATGTTCCACTATAGTAACAGTGTGAACGTTTTTTTTATTGGAATAGTCACATGATTTATATAAAACGTATCATTGCGAAATTTGAATGACTAATATTTGAATGTATATTATTTTTCATAGCCCCACATAAATTTTTGAAAATTCAAGAGAAAAATAATTTTTATTTCTTTATGAAAATTTAGGACATGTTAAGAAATATTTCTTTCATAATTGTGACAAAGGAATGTTAAGATTTGATGGGATATCACTCCACCTCATCAAATGGACTTGAGCATGCCCACAAAGAGTCGCAATGATATCCCAAGGAGGAATCAAGCATGATAAAAATTACTAGATGAAGGGACTATTAAAGCACATCAGATATTTGAAACCGACTCAAATGTTTGGAATTCAAATCCCTCCTCGAGTCACGCATCACTAAAATAATTATCCGCGATAGATATTAAAGCTAAATCACGCCTAGTGAGAAATAATTTCTTGTTTAAGATTAAATTTTATGTACATCTTGAAATTAGTTAAATCATTAGGCAAGGTTGTCCAAGATATAATTTAAATAAATAAATGTGTTTTGTCTCTAATAGTTTAAGTTTTTAGACGAGATAATTTAATAATTCTCACGTCACAAAAAATAATTAAGTAAAAGTGACTGATAGATATTAAGTGACTATATGCTTAACCAAAAGGTTTTGAGGATCTAAGGAAACCAGGCTATACGAAATTTTCACGACGTATGTGTACCCTCATATAGGCTCTAAGAGTTTAGTTCCACAACTCAAGGTTGCTCTTCTTCAATAGGGCTTCACTTGTTCTAATATTTCATATTCTACCTTGAGTTATTTCCTAATTAAATGTGGCTCTTGTATATATCTTGGAGACACCATAATCCAATGGAGCTCCAGGAAACAAAAAGTTGTAGCTAGGTGTTGCATTGAGTTTAAATATATCTCTACTAATATTGTCTAAACATTTGTTCACTAAGTTGGGATACACAATTCCTCGACTATCAGTTCTTTGGCGCGACGATAATATGGGTCTAATTAAGTTCCATAGTTGTCAGGATATAGCACATTATGATCAACTTTTTCGCGCAAAAGTTCTTATCAAACAGCTGAAAGTTAGGCACAGTCTTCTCAAATTTTCAAGTTTCAAACACCTTGACTAAGGCTTTGAGGACCACTTGTTTTGAACAACTTAGGAGTAAACTGAAAATGACTCTCACGTCTCCTTCAGCTTGAGGGAGGATGTTAGGCACCTCTTCATTTGCGTGTAAGCCCGTGTGGAAATTCTTAGTTGCTAAATGTGATTAAAACTCGAAACTCTTACTAATCCCGACACCAAAATAGCATTTACAATATTCTCTAGCAATGCAGAATGTTTACACACTCTCTCTCAATCAAGAGAACATATACATACTAGGAAAAGAATAATAAAACAAAACTAAGAACGCCTTTAAGAAGACGAGGAACAATTAATGCAAGAAATTGATAGAAAAAATGATTTCAACCTTACTTTGAACTTCCCATCTTGGTATGACAGATATTTCTGGTCCCAAATTTTGACATTTTTCTTAATCCCTGCCCATTCCCTCTCATCCATGGCTGTTTAAGACGAATCTCCAACAACTTAAGCCTTTAGATGAGGTAGTTCAAGTGTTCAACATGGTACCGGAGGAGATGAATGTCCAAGTTTCCTTGCGGCCATTTAAGAAATGTAAACATAAATGAAGACTGCACATTAGAGAGTGCGTTAAAGATACATATTGAAATAAATAAATGCATCCCCTCTCAATAACTTAAGCTTTCAGAAGAATGGTTTAACAGGAGTTTCATTTCCTAAATTGGAACTAAGTATCTTAGTTTTACATTCAAAAACAAATACTGCTTTTCATAATTTCTTTAAATGTTGAGAGTAGTTCTTTCTTTGACATCAAGAAGAAGATAATTGCATTCAATACTCTAAGCAATGATCCATACTGATTTAAATCAATCTAACAATTCATCGTGCAAGCCTAGATGCAATTAATACACAATACACCGAGAGAAAGAGAGAATTCATGGTTCCTCTTTGTGAACAAATGAGGGAAACATGTCAGGCATAAAGTTATACTCAGGAAGTTGAAGTTGATGCTGAGGATTAAGGTTATTATAATACATGGAATTTGGGTGGGTTTGGTTACTTGTTGGAAGCATTTGAGAAAGGATGTAGTCCTGCGGAAAACTTGGGACTGCAGGCTGCAACGAAGATGCCAACATGGCGGTGGCCTGGCCGCGAAGCATGGCCGGACTGTGGTGGTTGTGCTGGCCTTCATAGGTGGTGATCACCACAGATGGATCTTGAAATGATCTTTCAATTCTTTTCTTCACAGTGCACTTCTGAGTGGTGCATCTATAATAACTCCTACAACATCAATGAGGAGAGGGTTACTGTAATTAGATTACATGCTTCTCTACACGAATTTTTCTTAATTCCCTGAAGAAAATCTAAGTCAATTTAACATCAATTGTTGAGATATATTACAGGTGGCATGCTCTAGTGGTTGTAAACAAATTGATAATTTCTATTTAAAAGGTACTAATTAATCAATTCTTTAAGCACATAGCATAAAATCAAAATTTTCATCAATCAATAAACATTAAAATTTGATACTAAACAATTTATTTTGCATTATACTTCAGGTGCAAAAGTTATCATGTGCAGGAAATAACCTTGGAAAAGGGCTATTTTTCACTGCTTTCTGGCCATATTTCCTCCATCTATAACCGTCTTCAAGATTATCGATTTCGCTCTTTGTCATGAAGGCAAAACGGGGTTCTCTTTTCTTTTTCTCCCCTTTCTGTTTTGGTTTGTTCCTGGAAAATAATTAAATAGCAGTTAATTAATCAAATCAAGTCTGAAAAATTATTTCCATGAACTATATTTGAAGTATTAGTTGTTGAAAATTTAGGGTTTCATTTCACACACATATATAGGATCAATTTTGAGATAGGAAAATAGAATTAAGCACAATTCATTTAAGAAGGAGAAAGCAAGTAGAAAACTATTTTTCTTCAGTTCTGTAAATAAGTATAATTATTAATTAATTGAAAATTTGAAAGGACCAAAAAAGTCCACCTTGATAGTAATTAGTTATCCTAAATGGCAAAGAAAAATCAAGAAGAAAACCCCCAAAAAAACCTACACTTTTTTAGACTTTTCCTCTCCATCTTCGAACACTTTTTTCTGCAGATCTTCCTTGCTTTTTGAGGATTCCTCTTCACCTCCAACCGCAGAAGAGGATGAAAACTCGGCAGAATTTGGCGTCAATGGATTTTCATTATTCCCTCCTGCTGCGGATGGCTCTCCAACACTGATATCTTTGTTTGAATTACAAGTATCATTTGCAGGATAATTACCAGCATGAGATGATGAACAAGAAATGTCAAAAGTATTTGACAGAGCGTTGTAATGCACTCCTTCATGCAAGCAATCAGTGAAGCTGATATGAGAAGGATCAAATCCAACAAGGTTTGATCCCAAAAACCCTGACGCCATATTAAGATCATGATGAAAAGAATTGTAGGGTTGATAAGGATACTTGTTTTGATCATCAGACATAGAGGAAAATTTGAAGATTATAGGAATGGCGAGAAAATTATTCAAGATCTTTGATTTACTGTGTGCTATAGCTATAGATAGCTCTGGTTAGCTTTTTGGCTTACTTTTTCTCTTTTTCTTTGCTTAATTTCTAGAGAGAGAGAGAGAGTGATGACTTGAATGCTACATGCTTTGATTAATAGTATGGAATACAACTTTTCTTGAACTTTTTGTTATAGTAGGTTAGTACATGTTTGGCTATACTTATAATTTGTTTTCTCACACAAAAATATTGAATATAAAGTAAGCTACATGTTTCGATAGTAATATTTACCTCATTGTCAAAATAAATTACTTTTTACTTAAAAGTAAGAAGAGAACTCGATATTTTAAGCTTAGCCAAACATGGTACTAGGCTCGATACTGTCTCTTTTATTGGAGAGAAGAAAACTCTACTAATTTGAAACATAATGTCAAGAAATAGTTCTAATTAAAGTTTTGATATAATTAGGAAGTTAGGTAAAACTCCACTTAATTATTTGATCACATACAATTATACAAACTATTTGTTTAATAATTCAAAAGAGTATCCCAAAATTGTTATTCAAAACTTTAGATTGATTGAAAATGATATTTTTTTTATAATTATTCATCAAATAAGAATATTATTTTGTCATTACCGACGTACGTAAAATGCCAAATTTAGCAAGAGAAAAGGAGAGGTCGAATTCTTATTCCTCCATGTGCTTGGAGATGTGGTTTCAATTTGATTTGTGGAATCAGCTTAATTTCATTTATCTACAACTCCTTTTTATGAGGATAAATGAGAAACCATTTGCCTCGAGAAAGTACACGAGCCTCATCTCTAAATAATCATGATCAAAATATCAACGTTAGAGTACGATATTCCGAATTCTATGTGGCAATCCACTACTAGTCCTTACGGGGGTGCAAGGATTCCGCCCCGTGGTATAGATCGACCTCATATCAATCAGCGTAGTCGTACATCTTGTAACCATTTTTGATATGGTGAATTTTTTCATCATTTGCCCGTGATTTTTTCCTGTCTCGGATTTTTACGTAAATCTTGTATTCTTGTTATTATTTTTATATTGTTAATCCTTGTTTTTGCGTGACAATACATCAACAATATAATTGATAAATATCTTTTATCTAGACACATTCTTGATCATGGATTCAAATAAGGAATAAAATCAACTAAAAATTAGGGTTGAGCTGAAATTAAAGTCAAAATTTATTGGATTAGTCTAAATGTACATAATCTATTACATAATGAATTACACCCCCTCACATGGAGGGAGGCCCACGGCGTAATTCATTAGGTAATGGATTAGGTGTACATCCAGCACAACCCAAATTTATTTCCTTATTATCCGAAAAATGTTTTTTTTTTTTCCTTTAAATATTTTTACACTTCAAAATTAGCATAATTTTAAATCAGTCCTCTTGTTATTACAGTAGCCTATACACATTGGGTCAAATATGTATGTATGTCCCTAAGATTACGGTTTTCTTTTGAGAGGAGAAGGCTCACACACGTGTCATGGGTCGGGCACCGGAATTTGACCGTAACTGACAGGGACTTTGCTCGTGCGAAGATTTTCTACTTGCGTTTATCTCTGACTGTTTCCAGCTCGTGTCCACGTCATCACCGTTACATCCGAATTTCATGGCGAACTTTATTTCTTAATAGCTTGACTGGTCAACGTTTTCTGCCAAATGAAAAAATCGTGGACCCCATGCGAGTAGGACTGTACATCGAAGTGCCGATCCCGATGTACACATAGCAAAACCCTTTGTCAAGACCATACACATTTTATAATTATATTCACACCATACTTTTTGTTAACTTCATTATTGTACTTTTATTGCAATGAAGTTGCTTAACTTTTGGAAGTTAATTATAAGAATGCAAAAAAAAAAGTTGATAACATAAGTGAAAATGAGAAGTATTTATACTTTCATTACAATTAAAATGTGGTGTTAAAAAAAAAAATGCCGAATTAAGTATTTAAGCATAGTGTATATATATATATATATATATTATATTAATATATGAAGCGTATGTACTTCTCAGAGTCTATCTGGCATGACTTTTGAAGAAGTTAAGTTTGGACTTGTTTGAATAATTTTCTATAAGTGATTTGTCTAATTAAAACGACTTCCTTAGAAAACTTTTCAACAAGAAGTGGAAACAGAAATCCTACCAAACGCGGTGTTAAAAAAAAAAAAAACCCAGCATCGTGAATATAAAACCATTTTATCGGTGTATAAAATTTTTGTGGAAAATAATTGTTTTGTTGATATGACAAATATAACCTAGCATAATTAATGATTCATTTGTTATTTTTACTTGATTCTATGCCGAATTAAGTATTTAAACATAGTATATATATTAATATATGAAGTGTCAGTACTTCTCAGAGTCTATCGGCATGACTTTTGAAGAAGTTAAGTTTGGACTTGTTTAAATAATTTTCTATAAGTGATTTGTTTAGCTAAAATGACTTTCTTAGCACAAAAGGGGTGTAGCTTTTCTTTTTTTTTTTGTGTGTGTTTTTTCAATAGCCCACGAGCCGGTTTGTGGGCTCGGCTCATGCCCACGAGCTGCTCGTGAAAAAACAAGTCGAGCTCGTGCTCGGGCTCGTCAAAAGCTAGCCCACAAACCGGCTCGGCTCAATTGCCAACAATACTTCAACCCTACACCCCTTTTGTGCTAATTTTACAACTTTTATACTTTTCTATCTCAAATACTAATTCTTTATTTTGTGAACTATGTTAATGCCTTAATGGTAAATAGCAATAAATTGAATGAAAGACAAAAAAAAAACTCAAAACTCATATATTCGTTTTCAGATTTCAATAAAGCTAAATGTAAACATTTGATTCACATTAAGCTTCACTTCCCCGTCACATAAGAGTGGGGTCCACAATTGCGGGGTCCACCCCCATATGAGGGGAATGTGAAACTTAATGTGAACAAAGTGTGTACATCCAGCTTGATTCTTCAGATTTTTTTGAAAATAAGTTTTATTTTGTTGGATTTGTTTTGTGGCAACATATTTTAGTCTACTGCCCTTCTGTTTCAAATTATTGTGTGATGAATATTGAGACACGAGTAGGGGAAGGTGATTATAGGCAAGGCCAAGCTAGCTGGTGATGAAAAAAAGTCAAAAATTGGTTACTACAGATGGGCAAGGTAGTGTTTGCCAAATATTCCATTTTGCGTATTTTAAGGAGATGTTTCCAATTTGATTTTAGATGGTCATTATTTTGAGAAAATTAAGTTTTAAATAGAACGTACGCTTAAAAAATTAAAAAAAATTGAGTTTACGTGTAAAATATTTTATTATATAAATATGTGATTATAAATTAAAAAGTTTTGAAATAATGATTATCAAACTGCGCTTAATAAGTTTTCTACTATTTTCTTGCATGGAAGCACTGTACTTTTAATCAACTCAGAACGCCAATACATAAAGAACACGAGCCTATAAATTAAAATTAGATTTTTAGCAAAAAAAATTGATGAAATATGTTATTAGAATTCCATGAAATATATAGTTAAAATAATTGTTGACTTGAGATTATAATTTGATTTTAATCTACACCAAACATGGGCTTAAACTACAACAGTCGTCCTTAAAACCGGTTTATAAGAATTGAGAGAGTTAAGCCTACAAGCAGGTTTCACATGCGGATGTTGAACTCAAATGTAGTCGTTACAAATCTTCAAAACATACCATGCGATCCGTATGTACAATCGAGCACCAGTATCAAAGTTAGAGAACCAAATTAAATCGTGCCTTTCGATGTCCGATCCATCTTCATGCTTCAAAATGACAAATCTTTCCACTGACTCGGTAATGATGATTTGAATATTTGATGGAGTACCATTTTCTTGGACTGATCGAGCTTGTTTACACCATATCCCCTGTAAACACCAAGCTTCAGAGCTTGTTTTCCCTCTTTGACAGCCTTCTTCCTCAAAGTAGAAAGTAAATGCGTCCACTGAGTATCCGCTTCATTTGTCTTGCTTTCAGACATCTCCCCGTCCTTTGGTGACAAAATTACAGCATCATCTGCCAAGTCCTCCTTCGACCGTTGATTGCTTTCGTAGGCATCTTCATTATCAATTTTTTGAGCCAAGCCCTCCTTCGATTGTTGATTGCTTTCATTGGTGTCTTCATTATCATTTTTCCGACCATGAACACCGTTAGAATTGGAACTTGTGTTTCCCCACCATCTATGAGTGACAGTTGATAAGCCGGTTGACGGAAATCCGTATTTGAATTCATCCAAGCTGTCTAAATTCCATTTCGCCATAGTTGAGCTGTGCAAATTTTGAGAAATTTCAGTTCTGAATTTGGGCATTTCCTGCTGAGCACCAGCACTTTTGCTCTGGAGCTGGGAGACTCTACATGCAGGGGCAACCAAACCAAAAAAGAAGTAAATGAGAGACGAGAAAATTTTGAGAGAACAAAGAAAAACATACAATCAAGTAATCATAAAACCAAAATAATGAAGACAAATAGCCATGTTGTACCTCTTCAAGCACGACCTCATTTATTGGACAATCTAATGTACGTAACTTTTACTAAGGTAATACATAAAAGAGTCCACAATCAGTCTGCATCCTAAAATGGGATTTTCTGTAAGTTTCGTGTCTTTCAGCCATTTGAAACCAGTGTTGCAACAGAAGATTACGAATTGCCATGACTTCCCATGATAAATAATATATATTGTTTCTATTTACGATGATTCAAAACAAACAAAAACAAGAACTGCTGTCAAACATTTCTGCTGTATGAAGCTTTATAAAAAGTTGTAAGAGTCACTCTAACGTGAGACAGCTTCTGCAGTAACCATATGCAGGTCGTATGCGAACTAAATAAGCCAGTAAACCGATGATGGTCAAGTGAAAAGCACACATTTCAGAAAACCGATGATGGTCAAGTGATTTGAACTAGTATTTTTAGACACGTGATCCATAAAATTTAATATTCTCTCTCAAGGCATGGAAGAAACAGATATCGGACTGCAGACTGACATCTGCCTAGTTAAATTTGTCTTAGGTTCGGTATCAAAGACTATAGTGGCTAGTTCCCTTGGAAGAAGTTGTTATACACACAATTACTTGACTGCCATTACTGATATGCATATATTATATAGTTCAGTTTTCTAAAAATCTGCAGAGCATACTGTTGCAACAAACTAATCTCACGCCATCTTAACCTATTATTGCAATAAAATTAATGAGGCAAATAAAGCATTAATACAAAATGGGAAGAATCGAAAAGTTAATTTTCTTCATCCATATGGAATAAAGCATATATAAGAGCTCACCATTAAAGCATATATAAAAGCTGACTATTAACTAACCACCTTGAATAGCTATTAATTATACATCAATAGCATCTCTAGGTTATTCTTTGTTCTCGCATATAATTTACATCTAGAAATTTGAATTACAAATCATAATTTTTCCTAGGAATATATTCATGCCATGAATAAAAGCTTACAAAGATCATATGCGTGAACCTGCTAGATATGTAAAAATGAATAAAGGCTTACATAGATGATGAAATGGGCGAACTTGACAAAGCATCATTCTTCGGTCCTGCAACATTTGGCAATTCAGCAAGCTGTTTGGATTTTTCTATTGCAGCATCCTTCTTAATTTCTTCAATGCTCTTTCCGGAGAGAAACTAATATACCAAAGAGATTTGAAATGGAAATCAGCAGCTTTAAATTTCACAAAGACATTTTAATGACCCAAAATGTGTAGTCCGATAGTCTCTCTAACCAACATTTAAAATAAATGGAATATTGTCCATTTTATGACGTGCTAGAATGACAATATAAATAAGAGGTTACATGCAAAGATTTTCACGAGAAGACTATAATGGTTTTTCAGCATATACTCACACAGTCACATTGAAGTTCATAATAACAAATACCCACCCAAACAAAAAGAAAACGAACAAAAAAATGGAGAAAGTAGAACTCATATGACACATTCTTAGACATCAAACTGCAGTTGGTTCAGTCACCAAATAGAAGGATTCTATTTTGTCTATCATATCTAATAATTGACTTCCTAGCCATTTCTTCATCAGAGTGTTTCATCCTCTCTTAACCCATGCAAATGTTCTCACACATTCACAACAAAGTCTTGCACCATGTTGGACCCATAGGAACTAATGCCTCGCTTACCCAATTGAATATAAAGGGGGGAAAATCCTCCACAAGGTCTAAATAATAGAATCGCAGAAATTTCACACTCTACAAAAAATTCATAAAGCAAAGTGACATTATAATTCCCATTTGTGTCAACACACTTGATAGTGACCCTTGTTTTGACATAAGTCAATCTTTTGCTTTGCTTCTGTGCATATAATAAATTATACATTCATTCTATATGCTAATTTTTACATTTCTATAAATGCAATTTGCACAGTTTAGGTTCTTATTTTCCTGTATAATGCTATGTATCACCACTGGTGATCATCATCAATCTAGGTGGCAACATAGGTGTAAATAAATAATAAGTCCAACTAAATGGAGGGATATGAGACTCGTTTAATTGGACATATTACTTGACATAACCTAGATTGGTGATGAACACTGGTGATAATAAATAACATTACTCTATTTTTCTTGGGCTTTTTACTCGTATATTCTTAAAGTATTTTTTCAAGTTTAGAGGGCAAATATCAAATTTTACATAACAAAAAATAAAAACAGGAATGGATTCACAAAGTTGTAAGTTGTCAGTCAAATGTTTTTAGTTTTAAAACTCAATGAATTATAGATGAAATTTCTGTCTAAAAATAATAAAATGAAAGAAAAATGTATATTTATACCAAAGGAAGCCATAATCTGACAACAATGTTCAAAAGCCACCTAGTTTACTAGCAGATTATATCCATTGGTTAATAACAAGTTTCAGGTAGTTAAGTTATCCAGTTTTAAAGCCCTCTATAGTCTTTCCTCCCAGCACCCAATTCCGGTCAGATTATAAGCAATTTTATTTTGTTCTCTTCTATTACAAAATGCGAATTACACATTTACATTAACTCTAACCTTGCTTCACCTCCATATAAACAAGCTTGTGTACATTATCATGACTCCATATTTGTTTAAAGCCTGCCCTACTGCCTTGTAAGAAAGAAAAAGGAAGACCGTAAAAAGAAAGCATCCTCTCGAGATCCAGCCCAACTTATCCTCTAGGACCAAGAAAACATTCCTGGCAAGTGATGGTTAAACTTCAAAGAGAAAGTAGAATAGATATGTACTTTGATTACATCACATTCCGAGAAATCAATCTTGTTAAAGCCCAGATGCATTCAAACTTCAAATTGCCTACAAGTATTTTTACTTTTGTTTTTACCTTGATCCCTTATTTACAAGGAAGTAAGAGAGAAGAGAAAGGAAAATGGAGTAGGCTTGAGATGCAGTTAATTGAATATATCTTATTGCTGTGTGCCATCAGCACTTCAACATTAGCAATCAAAAGTGAATAACAGCGATTTTCAATAGTTAGAAGCACCAAAAAATACAGTGAAAATTGGTCCTTGCAATTACTTCTTCAGAAACTCCTTGCAATTTCTGAAACTTACACTGGATGCTAATACAACTTGAACAAATTTGTGGATGGCTTTTGAAAAACAAATTACAAATAATCGGAACTATACCTACCTGTCGATATGGCCACCTCACAAGACCATTTTCGTAACATAGCTTCTTCAGTACACTAGGACAAACACCTGCAGAACGAAAACTCTATATAAACAATCACCTATAATAAATCTATATAAGGAAAAGACAATTGCATGCTACTAGCAGTCAGCAATAGACAATAATAATTCCCAGAAAATCATAATAGGAATTTTCTAGCTGTGACGAATAAGGGTATACCAGCCTTTTTTAGCACATAAATTGGACATATACATTAGCAGTTCTATCCCTCTACCAGAAAGTCCACCAAGAATGGTAAGAACCATTGGAGGGCCACACAATGCAGCAGACAAGTGCCAGTATTATATTATCAGTCTATCCCCCGGAATGGGCAGAAAGAAAATTACCTTTGTTTTGAGTTAAACTTGACGTAAATAATTTACTAAATTTATCTTATTTCCCCTTTATCCTTTCATTTGATTAAAAGTTTGTTTGGCATAGATTTTTCAAATGAAATTTTTTTTCTTTGAAGAACGTGCGGTTGAAAATGATTTTGAAAAAAAAATGATATTAGAAAATTTTGTGCCGAACAAGCCTTAAAAATGTTATTCTACATGTCCATAATTTCAAGTGCCACTATGAACTTTTTCAAGTGTCTTGCACAATACTTAAAATGTAGATCGTTCCCTGAAATTAAACAAGGTAGTATCCATTTCGACTCACTATTCAAACATAAATAATGAATAATTATATAATTTTGAAAAATATTGACCTATAAGCAAGAGTGCTTAAAGATTGAACCTTTTCTAATTATGACCAGATAGTTTCGCTCCAAATTCATTACTGATTTCCAATATTGGGTGTGGTTCGTACTCTTTTACACCTAGATATAGGAATAGAATAGCTCGCTCACCGGCATCTTTGCTACTATTTTGCTACGGCGTCTTTGCTACTATTTTCCAGTGAACCAATCTTGAATTGATTGTATTCCACACTTTATCTAGCCTTTTGTATGCGATTAATCTTAATAAAAAATTCTTACCGTAAAAAAAAAATTTAATTTATTTCCCAGCGTCATCGAAAAGAAAAATATTTGCGAACACACACCACAATTTTACACAACTCCTTCGAATAAAGACATGACATGCATAATATGGGTGTATTTTGAGAGAGAGGGTGGTAACTTACCAAGGGAATCAGCGGCATCGGAGAGTGGAAGAGAGAAAAACTTAGAGACGTCGTCGTATGAAGGAGATTTGACATCGGGAACTGAGTTGGGATTCGGGTTCGGGAGTGAGTTTGTGATCGGACTTCGGTTGGGATACAAGGTCGGGTTTGGGGTTTGCAGAGTACCCATTAGCGGTGGCTATGGACTGAGAATTGGTGGCGAGGGGGAGTCGGGACGGAGGATGGTTGGCCAACCCAATTTATTTCACATGTTTGACCTAAGCTTAAAATTGATTAATTAAAACAAATAAGGGTTAATTTCACAAATGGTGACTGAAGTTACCTGAAATTTCAAAACGCTCACTGAAGTTTCAAAGTTTCAGAAACAGTTATTGAAGTTTGAAAGTATAGTTTCCCACAGACGGCGCCAATCTAATGACCCCAAAAAATGAACTCAACAGATACCGGGCCCACTCTTACCGTGTCAAGTACGGGTCCGACACGTTTCTACCGGAATGCAATCGGTAGCTTTACTGTTTATGAACGTGAGAGGCACTTTCTGACGAGAGACAAAAGTGTTTGGGTTCCGGTAATAATATATAAAGGAAATCATACTAACAATGATTCCTGGGTCTTTTACACCTTATGAACAAATTATTCTTCCATCATGGAATATATGGAAGGATAGATATGATATGAATCAAGATGTTTTTATTTTTGATAACTCTAAGGCTTTTTCTTCTTCTCCCTTCTTTTTCTCTAGGCCCAAAAATCACATCCCTTTCATGAACACAGATACGANGCTCACTTTATCTCCGGCATCCCATCACTCAAACCCAAAAAAGATCTTCGAGTCTTCCTGAAGCAACGCCGAGTCAACGACCCTCAGGGGACACTAAGAAGACCTCAGATTACGCCCCGCATCGTCCTTGAGGGGGGTGCCTCGGGCCGAGGCTATGAAAAGGTGTTGGTCCTCAGATTACGCCTCGCATCATCCTTTCTGACCTCCTTACACGTGGCATGCCACGTGGCTAGTTTTCTGTAACCTCGAAACGGGGGGATAACAATTGCCTAAGTTTAAAATAAGTCAAAATAACAGTAAGATAATGTGGAGCAGCAATTAAGCCATTGAATTTTAAATTATAAGCAATTATAGATCATAGTTGACGTTTCTATCAAAACTAACAAAATGCCAACCAATGTATCCATCCTAAACACTAGATTAATAATACGGGAGTTACTGAACTTTCATCCTAGTTACAATCGAGTCACTAAAAAACTTCTATTTGGATCAATCCCACCATGTGCACGTCTAATATCGTGGGAAAGGTTTATCGCGAGACGCCCAATATGAAACGTAAGCAAAACAAGGAAAGTCAATATAGTTTATCTGAAAATTCAAAATCCACAATAATGCGAGGTAGTAAAAGAAATTCAAAAAATCATTTTAGAGATCTATTAGACATGCAAAAAATAAAAATGATGACCCCATAATAGCAATGATGAGCTATTTTGGACGGATAGATGAGATTTTTGATAAAATTGTCGACAATTCTATCCATATAATATTATTTACACACTATTTGAACTTTTAAGTATGGTAAGTTGGTAAATATTTGTTTCATCTAAGTTGTCAAATTTACCCTCCAACGCCAAAATGTTTCACATGCCACACTAAAAGTGGGAGGACAAACATCGCACATTGGATGGACTCTAACTTGTTTTGTTCCAAGACTTCTTTCGATGCTTTTCGGGAGTCAAACAATGGTCACTTAGCGTCGGAAAGAGGTCTTCCACGACGAAGGTGCTAAAACCTAAAACTAGGCAACTTACTATGGAAATTAAACGAATCAATTCCTACTTGACCCATTCTTCTTACCGCACTAGCATAATCGGATACGGAAAAATAGAGTTTCTTCCAAATTCTCTCTCAGGGACAAACTTGTGGTCTGAGTGAAAGTCCCATTTCCTCTTTTCTTTGAGTTCTCGTATTGAGCAAGGGATAGAAAGAATGTGTCACCACTTTTCATTTTTTAAAGCAATAGTATAAAATCGCTTTCACTGATACTGGTCTAGGAGGTATTGGTGTAACCAATTTGAATTAGAGTAGTTGTGAAAGAAAGCTTGATAATGGTACAGTGAATATTTCAACAAGAAGTCAACAATATTGACTTCAATACTGATTTGTCACTTGTGAGAAATGACCATTATTTTTGCGAAAAAGAAACAAACGGAGACCCACTTGATTGTTGCAAATAATGGATTTTTCGTTAACATGGACATTGAAGAGAGGAATAACGTACACGATCAATTGTGTAACGTTGATTGTCTAGAATTATTAAATGAGTCAAGAATTATTTTGAGGATTTACTTGAAATTCTTGCACAAACTTTGGTAATCATTTATGGAATTAACTCCATGTCAAATATATTAGAGAGATTCAATGGTGAAATTGAAGAGGAGATTTGAAGGATAACGAAATCTAGAAAAATGGTGGTCCAAGGAAAGAAAATAAATTGGAGTTTAGTGATTTGATTGCTCCAGATTGAAATTCAATGACTCGATTGAAATTATGGCGAAAGTTTAGTGACCTTAAATGTTAGAATGATATGGTGGGAAGCAAAGGGGAATCCACATGGTAGCTAGACGTATTATATGGAGGGTCTATCGCATGATCACTTTTCTTCATATGGGAGGACTGTTTCGAGTTGTGCATTGACAATGGGATCTAATACTTGCACCCATTTTTGCTATTACTTTGATTCTCCCTCCCCACATCCTCATGTTTTGGGTTGGTGACGCACTCCGTCAATTGGATCTGTCAAGATCAATATTGATAGGTGCGTCGATTAGGGTATTGCAATCATGGTAGACATCATCAGGGATCATGCAGAACATTGTATCGGGGTTTTTCTAGTTTCGTATAGACCGTGCATGATATTAGAGGCAGAACTCGGGACTATTCTTAATGAGATTCTACTAGGTAGAGGACTCGGTCTTTCAGACATTTGGATTGAGTCAGATTCTATAGTGGCTATTCACTGTATCACGAAAGGAGGAGGACCATGGCTATCCAAGGCATACCCAGGCAGATTATAGACACTGTATCATTCGATAGAGATACTATTTCTCACATCTATATAGAGGGTAATTAGTTCGCTATTGCTGCGGAGGGTTGAGATCATCGGCGATATTAGATATATGTGGTAGCTGGCCTACCACGACATATTAGAGTACTTGTACAGATGGATAGATATAGACTGCCGAACATTAGAGTATGATTTTTTTATTTTTTTATTCTTGCTTTACTTGTATTAGTTTTTATTATAATGGAAGTAGTACTTCATTTTTTATAGCTTTACGTTTAGTACTACCCCATTTACTATTTTCATTATTTTCTCATGTAATCACAGTATTCCTCCACCACAAATGAGGGGATATTAATAAAATCTCGAAAGTACCGTCCTCATTTAACCAAAAAAAAAAAGAATGATGCTATTCATTGTCCCTCTATGTGGCAAAAATTTGGTAGTTTCTTATTTGATGCATTATCATTACTCTTAAATTTCGATAAACGTGATACTGAAATCCAAATGGAGTGGCCTAATTGGTTTTAAGCTAATGTTTAATACCTTAATTATTTCAAATTGAAGTTCAATACTTGATTGTAACTAGGATGAAAGTTCAGTAAATCTCCACTATAATTAAGCCTATTTAAAATTTAAGATCTATTAAAATTTTCAACACAGAATAAGCAATGTCATGATGTGGAAAACGGTGTAGTACGTTGCGTTTAACAAATTGTATCTGAGCTAGGTACAACAATGACTTCGGTCAGTACCCTAAATTGAGTGCAATAAATTGTACCACCACCTTCCGCCATGCTCACTGCATAGATCATATGGCTTCTCCTGCTATTCCCAGATCCCCACTCAAACGACTTTCCACCTTCAAAAACTCGCCATCTGCCCCCACCACCAGCACCGGAAATGCGAATTCCACTCCCACCACCGTCCCTACCTTAGCACGCCTCCCCCCTACACCATCCGCCCTAGACTCCTTCACCACTGACCCAATTTTCTCTGCTTTCCTCTCCCCGGATTTCAATCCCGCCCAATTCTCCTCCGCTGTTCTATCCTCCGGCTCCGCTGCCTCCCGTATCGAAAAGCTCCAGGAAGGTCTCCGCCTCCTTGACAGCCAGCTCCGCCACGAGGTCCTTTCCCGCCACCAGGACCTCATCAACCAGCTCTCCTCCCTCAAGGCCTCTGAATCTTCCCTCTCCTCTCTCCGCTCCTCGCTATCGTCTCTCAAGTCGTCCCTCCGCCAAGCCCGCTCTGAGCTCTCCGATCCCCACTGCGTGATCGCCGCACAGACCCTCCAGCTCAATAATTTACACTCTACCTCTGTCCTTATCCAGTCTAGCATTCGTACTCTTCGACTGGTTCAGAAGCTCCAGAATCTTGTTAATTCCCAACCCGACCCTGAAAAGTGGGATCTTTCTAAGGCAGCGCAGTTGCATTTCGAAATCTTGACACTGTATAATGAGTCCCATTTATCGGGGATTGATGCCATTGATTCGGAGTTAAAATGGGTAATTGAGATTGGATCGAAAATTCGAGCTGAGGGGATGAAAGTATTGGAGAAGGGATTGGAGAATTTGAATCAAGCGGAGGTGGGGTTAGGGTTGCAAGTATTTTTTAACTTGGGAGAGTTGAGGGGGACTGTGGATGGGTTGGTAAGTAAGTATAAGCAAATTGGCTTGAAGAGTATAAGTAATGCAATGGATATGAAGGCAGTTTCTGGTAGTGGGGGGTACGGGGCTGGGATGCCGGGTGGGGTGCAGAGGCATGGTACACCGCAGATTGGGGGTGGAGGAAAGGCGAAGGATGGACTTTGGCAGAGGATGAGTGGTTGCATGGACCAGTTGCATTCTATTGTTGTTGCAGTTTGGCACTTACAGAGGGTGTTGTCTAAGAAGCGTGATCCATTTACACATGTTCTATTGCTCGATGAGGTCATGCAGGTGAGTGGATTGAGTGTGATTTCAGTAGTTCATTCCTGATAGAATGAGGAGTTATTATGAATTTCTGTTAAAATTTTAGTTGATTTCTTGTTTATTTAATTAATGATGATGAGTATCGATAACATGATTTAGAATTAACTATGTTATGATGCACTTGTAATACGGGA